GGATCTACCGGATCAGCGGCTCCAAGGCGCGCGTGGAGAAGCTGTGCCAGGCGCTGGAGAGCGGCGGGGACCTGGTGGAGCTCTCTGAGCACTCCCCCCACGACATCACCGGCGTCCTGAAGCATTTCCTGAAGGAAGTAGGTCCCGAAGCTCTGCCTGGGGGCTCCGTGCTGGGCCGGGTGGGATGAAGTAACGCGGTGTCTTCCTCCTCCTCCTCCCCCTCCCCGCAGCTTTCGGCGCCGGTGCTGCCGCCCTGGCTCTACGACCCTCTCATGGCCCTCGCCAAGGACCTGCAGAGGCCCGGGGAGGAGAAGCCAGACCGAGGGGGGTCCCATCCTGACCCCGTGCAGAGCATGAGGGATCTGCTGAGCACCTTGCCTGGGAGCAACTACAACACCCTGCGGCACCTCATCGCGCACCTGTACAGGTGAGGAGCCTCCTGTGGGCACCCTGGGGGGCGTGGGGTCCCACCACGGGGGATCCCTCTGGAGACCCTGCGACCAGAGGAGCTCAGCACCAGGGGAATGAGAAGAGCATCCGGGTGTCCTTGACCTGGGAGAGCCAAGTGGGTGGTTGAGGAGGGTAAAAAATGAGCCAGAATTCCAGAATCTCAGCGTGGTGGGGTTGGGAGGGACCCCTGGAGATCAACTCATCCAACCCCCTGCTCCAGCAGCTCACCCAGAGCAGGGTGCTCAGGATCTCATCCAGAAAGGTTTGGAATGTCTCCAGAGAAGGAGGCTCCACAGCCTCTCTGGGCAGCCTGTTCCAGGGCTCTGTCACCTGCACCATGAAAAAGTTTTTCCTTATGTTTACCCAAAACCTCCTGTGATCCAGCTTGTACCCATTGCCTTTCCAGTTTTTGCCCGTTGCCCCTGGGCTGGGCACCACTGACAGAAGTCCAGCCCCATCCTCTTGCCCCTTGAGCCATCTTTGGCACCCTTTAGCTATTGATCAGCATCAGGTAGGTCCCCTCTCAGTCTTCTCCTCTCCAGGGTGAACAGCCCCAGGGCTTCCTCATCACAGAGATGCTCCAGTCCTTTAATTATCTTCACAGCCTTTACTGAACTCTCTCCAGTTCACAGACAGAACCATCTTGCAGCAATTAGGAGAAAGCTTAATGACCAAGAAGGACCAGAAGGTCCTTACTGATAGCACTCCAGAGAGCAAGAGGTCAAGGGAAAACACGAGCCCAGCCTCTAACCCAGCTCTGGACACGGGTCACAGGGAAGAGCTGCTCTCTTTTGAACAGCCCCTGCTCAAAAGTCCCTCCCCAGCTTTCTGCCAGGCCCCTTTGAGTATTAAAAGGCCCCCAGAAGTTCTCCCTGCAGCCTTCTCCTCTCCTGGACAACCCCAGCTCTCTCCTGCTGGGCTCCCAGCAGAGGGGTTCCACCCTGCATCGCCTCCGTGGCCTCCTCTGCTCTCACTCCACCAGGTCGAGCTCTCCAGGGAACTTCCAAGAGTTTTCTCTGAACTTTCCCCACACAGCCCAGAGTTGCTGTGTGAAAACAGGGATTCTGTCTCTCTGAGAACTTGGAGTGCTGGTGCATCCCCTCCGTGTCCTGGGGGGCTGGGGAGCCCCTCACAAATCCCTTTTCCCTTCCCCAGGGTGGCGGAGAAGTACGAAGAGAACAAGATGTCCCCCAACAACCTGGGCATCGTTTTTGGGCCGACCCTCCTCCGGCCGGGCGCGGGCGGCGACGTCTCCATGGCTTGTCTCCTCCACTCTGGGTATCAAGCCCAGCTCGTGGAGTTCCTCATCCAGAACTACGAGAGGGTCTTTGGGATGGACGAGCTGCCTTCCTCCTCCTCCCCGGGGTGTGAGAACCCTGCCCGAGAAGCGGAGGCAGAAGAGGGGGAAGGACTTCAGAGCCCAAAGGCAGCCCAGGCTACTCTAGAGGTAGAGCTCCCAGAGGCTGAGCTGGGCTTGCTGACCTTGCTGTAGGGCCAGGAGGGGCCACTAGGCATTAAAGAGAACTCTTCTGGCAGCTAACAAACCCATTTCCTATCAGAGGGTTATTCCAAGAGGAAGGAGCATGAGCCTGTTGCACATGGAGCAGGAGAAACAGGGGAAAAAAAGGTGGCTAGAGATCACTCAGCAGCTTCTCAGGCCACTCTGGATGGTGGTTTTTGCTCAAAAAAAAAATTGGAGCAAAATCTGCATCCAAAACAAAGTGGGTTTGGACAAATTAGGGAGTTCTCCACACGAAACCACAGCCTTGGAAGCAGCTCTGTGTCCTCAAGGCTCAGCAGATCTCCTGCTACAGCCCCCCAGGGCTCTGCCACGGACCCTTCTCTTCCCCCCTCCCTGTTTTGGGGAGGGCTTTGTTCCCCCCAGGCTCCACAGCTCCTCCCTCCCCATATTTCACAGCTTATTTCACAGCACTGGGGTGTGGGGTCCCTGAGTTGGCACGTGGGGGGTTCTGCCCTTTCCACTGTGCTTTGATGAGCAAGAAGGAGGAAATGAATTCCTTCAAGTTAAGCCAAAGGGTGTGAGATCCAGGGCTGGGGACTCTGGGACTCCTGGTTTTGCTTTGGGGGTGCTGATGTGGCTGCAGGGACCCCATCAGTGCTTCCTCCACGGGCCCAGCTCAGTGAGGGGGCAGGAATTAAAATAACAACGATTACAGTCCAAATAAAAACCACCAGGGTAGACACAATTCACCTCGAGTGCACAGAAATCCCCCAGGATCTACAAACCTTCACAGGAAGCACTTGGAGACAGACACAGCCCTGGCCTTTGACTGTTTTCAAAGCCCTTTTCCCCTACAGAATTCCCTGGAGCTGCTTCCAGGGTGTGTTGCAAGCAGGATCCTTGTGAAAACTCACCCTGGTTCCACCCCCCCTACGATTCCCGTGTCCCTCACTCATCCTCCCCTTTCCACTTCACCATAATTACCCCAATTAAGGGCTCGGTTTCCAACGTTTCAACTTTTTGGGCTCCTTCGGTGTCCTGTGGGACAGATCTTGGCACACAGCTGCTTTTTGGGGTGAGTTTGTGGTAGTTGTTGGGCTGCCAGTGGGGATGCTGGAGCTGGCAGGTCTTGAACCATCATTTTGCCTCGTGACCTTCTGGGAGCTGCTTTCCCAGATAATCCAATTCAAATCCAGGTTTTTTCAGCTGGAGTGTGTCCATTCGCTCGGCTCCAGCAGAGGGGGTGAAGCAGGAGTTGGTGATGTCCTCACCTCAGACCTGCCCTGTGTAAACACTCACGGCTTTTCCCCACAGAGCTCCTCCTCCAGGCAGAGTTTCAGTGCAGACCGTGCCTCTGAAAACTCCTCTCCCAGAGATGCCACCACGGAGCTGAGTCCGGAGGGACCCCCCAGCCCGTCCCGCGGGGATGCTCCAGGTCAGCAAAGCCCCCGTGGGGGAGCTGCTGTGGGTTGTCTTCCACGCTGGCTGCTTTTCACACCTGCCTCCCCCTCGAGGTGAGAGCAGGGAGGAAGCAGAGCAGGGCTGTGGTGTCACTGCTCTGAGAACCCACAGAGCAGCCACCCTGCAGCTCACACCGAGCCCCGGGCGCCTTTTCTGCTCTTCTCTGCCAGGGCTCCTGCCCACGGCTGCCTCAGCTCTCAGCCCACAGCTCTGCTGGCCTCAGGGCAGCTCTGAGAGGATGAACTTCATTCATATCTTATACCCCTTCCAAATATCAATCTTGTGCTTGCTCCTAACGAAGCTGGAGGGAGATGCTTCAAGCCCACTCATCCTGGAGGGGTTTCGGGGCCTTTTTGGAGGGGGAAAGTCATCAGTAACCAAGGTGGTTTGTTGTAGTGGCCTTGGCTCACTGCTCTGTCTGGTTTTTTTTTGTTCAGAGGTGACCACGAGCTCGGAGCTGGAGGACCCTGTGCAGGAGAGGATGGATGGTGACCCAGAGGCAGTGCCAGGGACTCAGCCCAGGTGCCACTTCAGCCGACAGCCCGTGAAATACATCCGCACGCAGGCAAAACCCAAACCAGTCCCCCCCAGATCTCCCAGGCTGCCCTTGAGGGCTACCACCTCAGCTGATGTGGCAACAGAGCTGGGTAGAGAAGGCAACCCTACCCACAGCAGCTCCACGACCAGGGAGCTCCTGGAGGAGAGTGCCCGGAGCGGGAGCAGCTCGGCCGACCCGGGCGCGCCCAGGCAGCGCCCAGCAGGGAGACAGCAGCTCAGCCACTTTGAGATGACGCAGGAAACTGCCAGGATCATCTCAAAGATTAAAGCTGAGGACACTTCCACGTCCCCTGAGTCTTCTCTGGAGGGTGTGGGGGCTGCTGAGAAAGCAGAGGCGGGGACGTACCTCTAGAAAAACGCTTGTAGGGGACAGAAAATAGCTGAAAAAGCAGAAAAATGGAAAGAGAAAGAAGACTCAAATCCCACATCTGCTGAGCAAAGAACCGTGGTGGGGTGAGAACAACACCCTGTTTGTGTTTACCCCCCCTGGGCTGGAGAAAAGGCTCCTGCTGGGAAGTGCCTGGTGGGCTTGGAGCTAAGCCAGGATTTGCTTGTTCTTCGTTAACAAACCTGTGTGGGCACTAAGCAGCAAGGCCAAGGGCTCTCTGCAGAACCTGCCCTGCTCAGCACCAAGGACCATGTGAGATCTGGCTAGAAAGATGGAGCCAGGAAGGAGGCAACTGAAATATGGGCCCTTGGACAGAAAACACCCCCAAAGGATCACTTGCTGGAGCTGTAA